TTGCTTCCGAAAGGTACGGTACATGTATAAATAAGACTGCTAAGTTAGATGGGATCGGTGATACATGTAACCTGGAAAGCGTTTCTCTCGAACCTCCGCGCCATCGGAATGACAGAAGTCTCGAACGACGATATAAGGAACCTTGCTTTCCAGGTAAAGTCGTTGCTCTTGGCTACACATTGACCTCCTCAGACCACCTAGCCAACAAAGGGCCGGTCTGGGAGGCTTCGATAGAGCCGGTATCCGTATTCCGCAGCTGACGTCGTCGCTGGTGCGCACACCCACAATTCCCCGCTCAAAGGAATATGACGATAGGTTTCACTTCCACGACGCATATTCGAAGCTTGGAGTTCGCTCGTCGTGACCAGTGATATTGGTGACTTTGGCAGGTGAAATATGCATATGACGATATATGCTTTAAAGGTCCGAGGAGTGAGAAAAAGTCCGGTAAAATATTTAAAATAAGAAATTTATGACGACGATAGAAGCCGGGATGACTTACGAGCTAACGGTGGCTTTTGAGGCAGCTGAGCGATGCTGTCGAAGGCCGTAGGTCGAAACGTCCAGATCCCACCCAACTCAGGAAACCGTACCACACCCAGAGCGGAATGGATCCCTGCCTTGCTTGGCGCAAAGCGCAAAGGTTGCCAACCTTAAAAATAAAGCAGCTTCTCGTCGTTACCGGAGCGCATCGGTACGCCACTCCACCACCTCACCCACGAACGCGAATCCAATAAGTTATACTTGTAAATCGAATAAAAATACATGCTCAGAAACCTGTTTTGGCGCAAGGCGGTCAGCGATGTCGAGTGTAGGGGTAAGGATAGGAAAGTGCATGGGTACGCACAACAATCGCAATCAAATGGACACAGCGGCGTATCTGGTGACCGACAGGGATCATCAATCAGTAAACAGCATACAGGACCATCAAATGATTAACGTTCAGGGGATAAGAATGAATAGCAAGTATAATCGAAAGGGGTTATGTGGGATGTGCGGATATGGAAGACGCTTACCTCCGCCCTGATCCCCGATCCCGAGCTCGTCCTCTTTGTATATCGCATACCCGTCTTCTGTATGCCGACCTGTGAATTTTATCATACAGAGGAATCAGTTGAGCTGAATGCGTGCGTGGAGGGAAACGCGAAGGCGACGTACGCGGACCTGCTCCCCGGGAATCCCGAAATCGCGAATCGTCGTCGTCTTTCCTCTTCCCATTCGCCTTCGCCGACACCTTCGGCTCGCTAACGCCGCCATCTCTCGCAAGGCGCGAAACCGGTGTTTTCCGCGTCCCCGCCTTCCCGCTCACTGCAGAAGGAAGAGTCAAAGACGTGTCCACGACGGTCACCACCGGTAAATGAGCCGTCCGAACGTTGTCATCCTTCACCTTCTCTATCGCTTGTTGATGTGCAGGACGTTGCTCGCTTTCGAGTTCGGTACCAGCAAGAAGCTTCCGTTTCTTCTTCTTCTTCCTGTCGCCGTCGCCCGGCGCCGCAGGCGATTCCGCTGAGGTGACCGAGTCGATTCGGGAGGACGACGCTGCTTGTGAATCCGCAGCAGAGAATCCGAGCCACTCCGCGTCTCCATCTACAGCAGACGCAGGATGCACTTCACTCTCGGCATGTTTGCGTTTCTTCTTCTTCTTCCGCTTCTCCGAGTCCCCGCTGTCCTCTGGCGGTAAAGGCGCTTTGACTTTGGAAGTTTTCACCTTGGCCGTCGAAGTCGATGGTGATGAAGAGGACGGCGGCTTAGAAATAGTTATAGAGCCGGATCCTGCAGAAGAGAGAGCAAAGGAGTTGAGAATGAAACAGGACATTGGATAACCGTAGAGCTCTCACTTTTCCCATTCTTGCCAGTCGCGAAGATGGCATCTATCTCAGAAGCCGCCGGCACTGGCATGGTGGTTGTACGCAGATGGTCAACACATGTATGAGTCAAGTCCAAACTAGCTTAGGATGAGCCACAGAGAGCTTCCGAAGAGACGTCGACACAAGGACGTTGGTGGTTGAAAAAGAAAAAATTGAAAGTGTGACGAGGTGACATGTCACGAGAACAGTTACCTTTTTGTGCGCCTTACCTCAACTCGACACAGTGTTTGTTGACTGGGCTGAAGCTCTAAAAACGACGGCAACAAAAACCTGCGTTACGATGGTCTTATGGATCGTATGCATATCCGTGGAGGCTTGCTGACCTTACGTTCAGACCGAACTCTGACTCTGGCGCACTGATGACTCCGACTCGCTGGCACTGTCTTGCTCGATGATGTTGAAAAGGGCTCTCAACGAACTATCCTATGCCCAAGACCGTATCTCTTGGGGCTCTATCTGCACCAGGGCGTTACTTTCAGCGCCTGAGGATCGACTCGAACCTACGAATCGAATGGTGCTCAGTTTGATGACTAGAATTCTCGCGGGTTCCTCTCAGGCTCGTCGGAGGCACATCATAGCCGTAGTGTTTGCTCCCAATATGCATTTAATTCCTCTTTATCCCTCTTCCTTTGGCGACATGCAACTCTGACAAATGGACTCTGTGGTCGAATCTACACAAACACGAACTGATCAATTTCGGACCTGATGGAGGTCGACTGGAGATGATGAAAAGACGGGACGCATCGTAGGTTCCCACTAACTAAACATCCTTTGAACCAGCTTTAGGATCCCGCCGACCTGTTCTCTGTTCGCTGATGGTCTCTCAACAAACACAATGGAATGCGACGGACAATTTTGCCTTTCACCCATGGCAAAACAGCTGTTCGTGTGCGCATTAATCCGAGGAATGATTTCTGGCCGCTCGACATATTCAATGTCAAGTTCACAGTTGTCGGAATCTCTGAGTGGTTTTTATTTGCCGGTTTTCAACCCTTTTTACAGTGTTTTAATCTCTCGATTCTATCTGTGTTGGTCACTATCGGTCAGCCTCAAACGGGGACCATTTCATATTGTGTCAAATTCTTTTTCCATGCTCCCGAATGAGACATGGAAATGTCCGTTGTATCGTCAAAATCGTTACCTAGGAGCACGATACCTCCCAACCCACCGGATATTTTGTTATCCGTTCCACTGATCCCACAGTCTAGGATTCCGGGAAACCGTGTTTGGGTTAGGGAACGAAATGCGTGGAACGAGCAGTCGCCGAGGATATACATTAAGGTAAAAGTCATTATCTGTAATCCAAAGTAGTCTGGTGGATATTTACATGACAGATGAGATGGAGATGCGGGACCTCCCATATCTCCACTTGCACACTTCGATATCTCCGTATTTCAAGCTCGATCTTCTTGCCAAACCTGACATCGGGTCTCGACTTTCATCGTGCGATCACCGCGCGCATTTTGATCCACCACGTCAAATTTCCCTGCCGCAAGCTACCCTGTACTTCTCCCGCGAGTGTTCTCTTCTCTTGGCCTCAACCGTAACCGCAACACGCAACTACGGGGTGATGCAATCCCATATCAGTTTCTCCGAACAAAAGACGCGACCGTTCATGTCCGACTTGAGGCTTGCTCTCATTTGATGATCGACAGCGAAATCGTTCACCGGAAATAGATGCCGCACATCGATTTGATGAACCTGCGGCGATTGAGGAAGCAAGAATGCTGAAATGTCGCTGTTATCGGAGGTACCGCACGCCCGGGATTGGATCCGCTTTTTCGTTCTAGATTCTACGCAAGAATATATTACTCACCGTAGTCGTCTGGACATTCCATCCACGTACATATCCACTAGTGATCGCTGCGCGGTAAAATATCAGTGTAAGTGTGGCACTGGATAATTCGAATGTTAAAAAATCCCCGGCCCGTCGTCGGCCCGATTTCGTAATCTTGCTCCAAACTTTCTCGTGGACAGCGAAATGGTCTGACCCGCTACTGGCATGTCCCATACCAGAGCAAGCACAGAACCCGGGCCTCCACTAGCGTCAAGCTCATCGCCAGGTTCTCGGAAGAATGACACGGACATCGTACACCCCTTCAAGAATTCGAAAAGCCTGCTGATCGTCATCCCGAACGACCGGATCGATGTCGAAGCAGAGTCTGCGTTCTATGATGATTTCTGTCTCGTACGTTGCCTTTCGTACTCGCGTCTAATGCACGGTGGATTGCTGACGAGTCCTGTCTTGTTTCTTTGTGGAAATTATTTGCACACCATTTTTGTTTTCGGGATTTGGTCCGTTTTCGCGTCAAATTTGCAATGCGTCACCTGTTGGTTTTCTGGAGTTTAGGATGGTGTAGATTCTCGAAGTCATTTATCAAGGCGCCGTTCTCGTTCGGCTCCTCCATCACCAAGAGACGCACCATCTGTGTTCTCCAATGACATATGGTTAGGGGACAACAGTGGAGAGAGCAACGCCTTTGCACGAGATGTTACGATTACAGGATGGACGAGTGTCGGCGACAAACGTGGTAGTGCCTACATTGGTGCGCATGTTCGTCCGCCTTACATTCCGGTCGTTATTTACCACCCTTTGCAGTGTATGATTGTTCGATCCGTACAGCTCAAAATACCACCTTGCACGCTCATAAACGATATAGTGCATTCGTTCAGTTGTACGCTTCCCTTCGCCGAACGCTTCCGCAAACGCTTCTTTCCCAAATCCCACCGCTTCCACCGAAAGCTGCGTTGGCGAAATTTCGACCGACGTTCCTCGATCGTCGAAGACGAATGTTGCAACACTGGTTGAGTGCAGTGTTACTCCATCCAGACATTGGCGGTTGTCAAGCTGTGCGAGACTGGGTCCTGGACTGAAGGAAATGAATGGGGATGGACGGGATGCCAGCTGTGATGTCAGAAGGAACATCGACGTGGAATAATTTATGACGGAATTCACGTATGTTTAAATATTTACCCCATCATTTGATGTTGCTACTTACGCGTGCAATATACGACTCATCTAATGCTTCTCTCTTGACCAAAGTGGCAAAACCCGACGGACGTGAGCTGCAGTAATTAGCTAGACAATATCTAAACGACACTATGTAGCTTGTTGTCTCCCATTGTCATGTCGGCCGAATGGTCTAGTAGTATGATACTCGCTTCGGGTCGCTTAGCAATGAGCGTGGGAAATGCGAGTGGTCCCGGGTTCAATTCCCGGTTCGGCCCTATGAAAAATGACTGCTTCTTTTTGTCTTTTTGCTCACAAGGCGTCTGTAACTGCAAGAAAGACCACAGTAACTTACCCGTTGCGTATGCTTACGGTACCGTAAAGTTTAGGTTAGCCGTGTTGAAGAGATTACTGAAGTTGCTATTTTAGGTAAGGTCGTTGCATTCGTTGAGCGGACCTGGCGATCGCACTGTCTCCATTCAATCACAGGAGGTGCTCCATATGAGGATTACGGTATGCTAAGCGTCTGACATGTTGACTACAGTATTTAACGCCTCTTGCATTGCTGCTCGGAAGGCTTTCCCGGTGGAGCAAGTTTGGTTCACCCAGCCTTCGGATTTAACGGACAACATATGTCGCCATAGTCAGGAAGCACCGTATCGGCATGAAGTCGTCCAGCTTTCGCAATCTAACGCTCTCAGGCTTGCCGAGGTTTAGGTTGTCGCGCTTTCCCATTCGCAGTTATGACCAAGAAGGGACGTCATCTCGAAGAGGTTTAGACGAACAATTCACCGCACCGTGCAATTCCGCGAACTTTGCCATAATCTCCTTGAAGAGCGTAATGATGCCAGTTCGCTTCCGGAAGCGATTGCTCTCACATCCTGTCTGGCCGCCCGCTCATCAGAACGTAAAAAATCAGTGGTAATACGGAAAAAGTTCGGGGTACGCTTGGACATCATGGAATGGCTAACAGAGCGGCTCCATGGTGCCGAGGAAATATCGTAACGCAGCGCCAGGCATGCATCGCGAATCACATAAGAATCCCCCCTTTCGCCGATAGACCGTGACAGCGCATACATGGAATACATGCCTTGGCCATTCTACACACGACCGGGTGATTATCTCTTCAGTTATCATCATCTATCGGATTGATCAGACCCTGCACCTTAGCACACGCAGTAATGCAACGCGGCCATGTTGCGCGTTTTCGTTCTGCCAGTGGTCGATTGGGGGGCCGGGATCTAAGCTTCGCAAAGCGTTGCAAGCAAGCACGCTGTTTGCGGGCAGGGGTCCAGACAGACAGACGCGGTCTTGTGACGCGCTAAAGCTGCACGCTGCTTTTGATGGACGCGTGCGCTGTGCCTGGTGATCTGACGGAAGCAGATTCAGAGAGCCGACGGTGATATGCATCTACATCTGCGAGATGTGACGCCGTTGTTGCGGCGTCGAGAGAAGCGTCAGAACGCGGTGCAAGTACAAAATTGAATCCCGGTGGCGCAGGCGATCTCGGGTACCGAACGTAGACCAAATGGATGATCCAAAATTCCGTACGGCCGCTCAATTCCATCAAGCTGTGACATACGGCGAATTGACTTGCCCTTGGAAGTGAAACATAAAAAAAGGAGATCAACATCCATGTCATCATTCACGACGCACCCAGTCTGAGGTTCTTCAAATCGTACACGCCCACACGTGGATTGCAGGGTCGATTGGCGAGTGTATTGGCCGTGCTGAACCAAACCTCACCTTTCCAAGCATGTGAGCACTCACATGTACCGTCAGTCGATCCTATCCTTCAGTTCAGTTCGTCCTTCGCGCAAGAAATGAGGTGATGCAACAAGGCAAGCCGCGTGCATTGCGATGCAAGGCTGTGCAGGAGGATGAATGAGATGATACGGGGGTTGCGCACAGGCAGGACATGACAAATATGTCGTCCCACCAGCGGCGTCGAATGTCCGAATTACAATATATAATGCGAGTGACTGTACTGTATCGTAATAAACCGAAATATACAAAATTTATATAGCAATGATGAATGATGAGCAGCGACCAGGTCCGTTTACCAGTGAACATCCACGAAGCACACGCACGAAAACATTTGAAGTAGCGAGAAAAGAACAGTGTCCGATGAAACATCCGCCTAAATCAAATGAAGGAAGCGAGCGAAGGAGAAATGATGAGCCATGGGGTACTGTACGTTTAGGGAAATGGCGCACGAAGTCGAGGGATGCCGTGAACGGTAAAGCGCGAGAAGGCGGGTGGGGCGGCATAAGTATACGACGCGTTACGGCAGCGAAACATCGGGTAACGACGCTACAGCGCCAAGTGCATGGCGACGCGGGGTCAGCCGTGGTAGCCGAAGTCAGGCATAAAACGAATCGCACGAGTGACGTACAATGGTGATGATGACGAGACAACGGCTAGCGGACGGCTGCAAGAGTTACCACTCGGGTTGGTGCGTGTGTGAGGTCAGAAACTGGTGCTGGCGATGATGGGATGGATGTACTTGGGTTTGGATGTATGGTATCGATGAATTTGCGTTTGAGGTATACGTTCGTAGATGTGTAGATGCGAATTCCGAGGCAGCAAAGGATACAGAGAGAGGGCGGGAAGAAAGACGTAAATCGTTACGCGTAAGAATAACAGAGCTGTGCTTTGATGTAATGATGATGTTGGTCGTCGGAAGCAAGTGATGATGGGGTGTTGTGGGTTTGAGGTGAGGTAAGAGTGTCGCGTAAAAGAAGTCGAAAATTTATGGAGAAGCGCTTCCCTGTCGTTGATGAAAATTCATGATTATCACGGAATAGCAGGTTATTAATAAACCGCAAAACCCTAAGCGCCATGCTCACGCCGTCGCTTTGCTACGTGGTTTCGCGAAGGCGGCGGTTGTGGTTGTGGCTGCGGTTGTGGCTGCTGGTGCTGCTGAGGAGGAGAATGGTGATGACTCCGTTGACGTTGCGGTGGCGCAGAACCAGAAGCAAAACCAAGACCAAGCGCCACGGGCACGGACGGTGGTCTCTCCGACGACTCTCGCTCCATGACTAAGAATCGAGAAGGATCGATGGTGGTGGATCCACCATTGCCACCGAGTTCGAGTTCGTGGTGGAACTCAGCGTCAAAACCGTGACGGTGGTTCGTCGTGGTGGCGGAGCGTGACAGTGACGAGAGGGCGGAGGGAGACATTGGGATGGGGATTGCGGGTTGGCCTGGGCGCGGCGAACGGTGTGGCGCAGACGACCGCCCGGCACTACGATGGGCGTCTGCGCCTCCCAATTTTTTGCGCGTGGCGAGGTCGGGGAGGTGTACTGCTGCTGCTGCTGTTGGGACGAAGGCTGAGGCTGAGGTTCACGTGGATCCGACTCGGTTCCAATGATTGATGAGAGGGTTAGAGGCGAGCTTCGTGAGCTGGATGAATGCTGCTGATGCTGCTGCTGCGTGTCGCCAGGCTGAGGCTGTGTGCGATGTGCAGAGCTCAGTCGGTGCTTCCTCTGAGAAGAAGAGGAACGTGGTTGGATCGATAGCGAATCGGGGACAGGTGGTAAATGTGGATACATCGCAGCAGACATGCCAGGGCGTGCCGGCGCCCATGAGGAAGGACCAGCACCAGATCCATGGTACGATGACGACGCTTGTGGAAGCGGTGGGCTAGGATTGGACTGCGATTGGCCAGACTGGCCGGAGTGAGCAGAATGGGTGCGAGGGGAAGTTGTCGGCGAAGAGCGGGATTGTAACTCAGCGGCTGGATTCGAAGGCGAGAGTTGTTGTGTAAAACCTGCGACGCCTGGACCGGAGAGGAGATTGACTACCCGAGAAGTACCCGCTGTAGGCTGGAGAACTGGAGAGACCGACCCCCCTCCGCCGGGGAAGTCGGGATGAAGACGTATGATGAACGCTTCAAGGCGGGCATACCGAGCTTCGAGCCGGGTATAACGGAGGTTGAGGTCGTCCCATTCCGGGCGCGAGACATATTTTTCACTTTGAAACGCGTCAGAATTGACTGATACGGTCGTCGGAGGGAAGGCGTACATTGGTTCTACAACGTGCCATTGACACTTTGCCTGATCTCCGCGTCTTAGACACGGACCGCACGGCTGCGATCTATCACACCTGATTTTGCGTCTCTTGCATTCTATTAGAGCGCGTTTGTCAGCACCGAGATGGGATAATGATATGAAGCGCAAGGTGTATGGCGACTTACCGGTGCACGACAATGCTTGTCTTCTGCGCTTCTTCTTCGGGGGACCAGACTGGTCATGTTGGCCTTCCAATTCGGGGTCCGACTCGGGACCGCCAGCACCTTCGTAGTCGTGACCAGGTGTTGTTCCGGAATATAGCTCCGCGTACTTACGTTCAACAGCGCGTGACTGCGGTGCGGACCCGCTCGGCGACGCGCCGTAGCCTGGAGGGGACGGGAGCGGGAGGGGATAGGTTGGAGACGCGGCTGTGTGCTGCTGAGTTGGCGGTAAAAACGGATGCAACTCGTGGATGGAGGGTAAGGATGTGCGCGACGGGATGACGGGGGACGAGGAGGCCGAGCGCTTTGGTGGTCTACGGGGTTGTTCTTGTTGTTCGGGGTCTGTCGGGGAAGGGTCTGAAGGGATCATTGCAAGTATAACATAGAGACGGATGACGTGCACGACTGGAGCGGGAGGACATGGCTGGGTGAAATGATATGTCTCTCTTATAGGAGAGACGGGTCCAAATTACCGGGGGACTTGTCATGAAAGATGAAACAGAACCAATTCGTCACGCATCTCATCGCAAGCCGATCTGGTTTAGTCGCAACTTCCCCTTTGGGACATCGGTGCCTCTTCCCCTTTTCGGTTAAAATCTGAATAAGCTTTTTAGGCTCCTCAACTTTCCTCGGACAACCCCGGAGGCGCTGAAAGCCGTGCTAACTCCGTCTCTCTATCCTTCCATCATCCTCCGAGGTTTACTCTTTTCTTCTCAACTTCCACCTTCACCGACCAATTCTTTCGAAATAATCCACGTTGCAATAATTTGCCTAATGAATCGTCACGTTTTTTGCTCCATCCTGCGTCGCTGACATGATAAATGCATCATCTCGGATCCGGCGCATGCCCTTTCACCACCCACGAGGCAAATAACTCCTGAAAATCATTTTTTACCTCCGGTGACGCAAGCACGCACACACCCATATCTAATTCCGGCTCAGCCACAACTGCTGTGCTCTTCGCCGGCATAATCACGCCTGAAACGCCTGGCGAACCCGACCAAGTCATCGAAATGCGAGGATCCCCACAATTTCGTCACAACC